CCCTCACTCACAAGCACGAGAGCATGTTTTAGAAGTTGCACTTTGTGCGGATGTGAAAACTGGTAGTAATAATTTCTGGAAACAGAAAGCAACAACCAAACTGGAAAACGGAAATCCTTGAGAAAATGGCATAAATATTTAATACAGGCTTATTCAACTTACTTTTCTTGTTATCTTCATGTAGTAATGTTATCATAACAGCTTTTTATTTGATAGGAAATTACTTTATGGTTTATGCTTGTCTTTTGTAACAAGATATACAAGCAAGAAGTTGGTAGGCAAATTCTGTCATTTACAGTACACACCCTAAAGATTAGGGCCATCGCTAGGTTTTCTGGGCCCCTTATATTGTGTGTTGGAAATGGGCCTTTTTGGTTACCTTGAGGACCTACATTTATTTTGGCATACGCTTTTATCCAAAGCGACTTGCATTACATTGAAAATATGCATTTTATCAGTTCACACATTTCCTTAGTGTTGCTAGTGTGCTAAAAATCTTTCTCTTCGCATGTCTCTATATCTCTACCGCAGATCCATTTTTTTACACAGTGGATACATCTTTGAGAGGCAAGGATGGCCTCATAATTGGTGAGGGAAAATACGGGTTGGTTTTCTCTGTGTGGAAGCTCAGTGTGGCTCTCGGATGGTACTGCAACTTGCATTTCTACATATCAATTTTACATATCCAAATCCGTAACAGTCTGATAATATTATTTTAAAAATTAAATCTACTTTTCAGATGAGTATTGAGCAGTGTGTTTCCATCACTTTAATATTTGTACATCCTTGTCGTAGCGGTACAAAGGCATGTATTTTGTACCATGAATCTACAAACACCTTTTATCCACCCCCATTGGTGTGATTTATAACATTAAAGACACTACAAGCCAGATGATGCAAAGTATTTATTTAGTCATTTATATAATACAGATTACAAACAAGAAATTATATTATCAAGTTATGCTATTATATATTCTGCTTGTATGATTTTGTATGTTCCATAAAATTAATTTTGAAATATTTAGGTACAATTTTGACACACAAACATGATAAATTAATCATTAGTCTGAAGAGGGAAGAAATTAGACATTCATTACACATAAATTTTGAAGAAATCAATTTAAAATTAATTGATTCTTTGCTGATTTAAAGAAATATTTTGTTATATAACCTGTACTTGATGCATGAAATTGTTGCACAGAATGTATAAACAAATTGAAAACATATAGTGCAGGTGAGCCATTCAGAGGATCGTGCCAGCCAAGAGTTATTTACTAATACCCTGTAGAGACACAAAAACAAACAAAGCTGAAGACTTCTAGACTAAAGAATTCAGAATTTGAATCATGTTTGGTTTGTGTTTCAGAATTATGATCACTTACTGCATATCTTTATATAATCCGCACAGCAGTTTATGAGGCAGCGAGGACTGCAGTTGGAGCGGTTGCGGAAGTCAAATTTCTCACCACATCTCCCTTGACAAGAGGTTGAGGCTACAACAAAAAGACGTTATCAAGCAGAGAAGTACGTAGTGTTAATGAGAATTCACGAAAGAAGATATTTTGATAAATCAGTTGTCTCTGACTTCCAGTGTATGGACAAAAAATATAATGGTAACCAAAACTATTTAGGTAACAACATTCTTCAAAGCATCGTTTCTTACAGAAATAGTAAATTCATTTAGGTTTTGAATGATATAAATGGGGAATAAGTGATTTTGACAGAATTTTCATTTTTAGGTGGACTATCCCTTTCAGGATATATAAGTGTGTAGAGTATGAGAAAGAGTTACTGTAACTGGGTGAAAGAGTAGTAGTTGCTGGTCTTATGGTAGTAGAAGTTTTGGGGTGGTAGTAGTTGGTGATTTAGTAGTAGTAGTTGGAGAAGTTGTAGAAGTGGCTGATGTAGAAGCAGGTGAGGCTGTAGAACCAGACTGGCATGTGCTTGTAGGGTTGAAGGTGACAAAACCCGGCAGGTTCTGGCCAATGTTGTTGGTGATCCAGCTCTGATACTGTGACACGCGGGTGTAAACACCAGGTGCGTTGGGATCGGCACAGCCATAACCCCAGCTGGTGATACCAGACTGAACCCACACCAAACACTGCTTGCTCACCATTGGACCACCAGAGTCTCCCTACGCAAAGACAGAGAGGAGACGTTTTTCTTTGAGCAATATATTAGAAGAACCTAATGGACTTTCAGATACGCAGCATGTTTTGAAATGGTTGTTGTACCTGGCAGGTGTCTTTGCCTCCCTCCATTAAACCAGCACACATCATGTTGCTGGTAACAGATCCAGAACCCAGAAGAGTATTACATCGATCATTAGCCACCACTGGAACCATAGTCTCCTGCAGGATCCCAGGAGCAGGTAAACTCACTGAACACCAAAAACACACACAACCTTCTATTAGTGATGTTAGGAAGAGATGCATATGTGAATTAATGGATTTGCATGTGTTTGTACCTCCAGACTGAACAGATCCCCAGCCTGTGATCCAGCTGCTGGTGCCAAAAATGAAGATGCTGCTCTGGGCTGCCAGACACACGGGTCTAATATAGTCATTAAAGGTGACTCTGGCAGACAGCCGGAGCACAGCAATGTCATTGTTGTTTGTGGTCCTGTCGTAGGAGGGGTGGACAATGATCGTAGTGACATTTCTGCTGATTTCATTGGCATTGACTCCTTGCTGCGTCCTCCTTCCCAAATACACACGCAGACTGGATGCGCTGACACTAAATACAGTCAGAGAAAAGTGAGAAAACAAAAACATACATCTAATAATCAAAACAAAACAAGTGCTTTCGTGTATTTAGGTGAATCTTACCCAGGTAAGCAGTGAGCTGCTGTCAGCACCCATTCATTGTTGATGAGGGAGCCTCCGCAAAAATGACGTCCAGAAGTGTGCAGACTGACCTGCCACGGCCATGAACCCTCAGAGGCATCCACACCGCCCACAACACGAGTGTTTAGAGGAGCCTGTCCACAAACTATGAGAGAAACAGACAGATGTGCAATTCTGTAAAACTATATGATTCATATGAACATATGAAGAATGAGACAAACTCTTACCGTTCAGCTGAGAAAGTGAACCTGTAGCGGAAAAGACAGAGCAGCACATATTAAATAGGAAAGATTTCATGGACATCTAGCTATGTGTGACATCCTCTTACTAATTAATTTAATGAAATTATCCCTCTTGAACATGTACTGCTGATGAAGTTTCTACCTTAAGCAAGTAAAAGTCCTTACCTTGAACACATAAGAGCAGGGCCAAACCGACACGCGTTAACCTCCACATCTTTACAAACCGTCTCTTCTCTTGCAGAATGGATGGAGATGGTGGATTTGGTTCTCTTTGCTCTTACAACCCTTTTATATATTCATTTCTCCAGTCTCTGCTCGCCATTTGTCTAATTACTTTAATGTCGCACTAATCCATTTTTAATATCATTTTCTGCTCCTCGCCCTGTTTTCACAATGCAGACCCAAATTTTCTTCTTAACATATTACATGCAAAGTTTTTTCCAGACATTTTATTAATTCATTCTATAATCGGGCAGGATGTTCATGTTATATAATAATTTATTGCTGTTTGATCTAGCTGAGAATAGTAAGTCTAATGAGGATGTGTACTCTACATCCAGGTAATTATAATAACATTAAAGATTATATAATTATAATAAATCACATCACATATATCAATTTATTTTCAAATAACACTTGTTTAAACATATCTTATATATCTACTAGATAGATAGATAGATAGATAGATAGACAGATAGATAGATAGACAGATAGATAGATAGAGACAGAGTGAAAGATAATTATATTTAGAAATTCAAATGAATGCTGTGTTGAAAAAATGATGATCAGCTAATATGTGTTGTTTTTCTTGCTTGTTTTCTGAGATTATGAATAAACACCTAAAAGAATGATAGCTATTGCTTGAACTTTATGATTTATTTTGAAATATGAAATTTAAATAGCTGGAACGCTACAATTGCAACATTGATTCACCTGCCCTCTGTTACACTTTTACAATGACACTGTAAAATTTCTGATTGCCACATGCTGCCTTTAAGTCATAATTAGTGTCTCATTAGTGTCTCAAACTAACAAATACTGTCATTTTTGTACTTGTGTGTTTCGCCAACACTTTTTTTGTACCTGTTTGTCACAAATCCAGATAAACTGAGCTTAGCTTAATTGCTGTGGTGACAGATGTCTCCTGTAAATAATCAGCTCACATTCTCTCACATGTTGCTCTGCATTTTCATATCTGAAATCAAACTGCCTACTAAACTGCAAATGTTTGTTTTGGATCATTTAATTGTTCCAGAATTACAAAAAAAGTCAATGTAAGGAAAAAAACGGAATATTTGATCACTTTCACTGGAATTTAAATGTAATTTCTATTATTTTTGTAACAAAGCATGGCTATTTGTTTAAACTTCAAGTATAATCTTTTGCCATTTATTCTTTATATTTTACTTTAAATCTCAAAAAAAATTTCCACTGTTCTTAAAGGAATAGTTAGTTCACTCAAAAAACTGAAAATTATATTTTGTCCTTTTTTTCCATGCAATGGTGAAATGAGAATGGTGATTGCTGTGTCATTCCTAACATCTGCTTTTCTGTTCCACTGTTTGAAGTCAAACAGGTTTGTAACAACATGAGGGTGAGTAAATAATGCATTTTTGGCTAAACTATGAACACCCTGTTCGAATTAGACTGAGATTAACAAAACTGATAATCTCTGAAAACAAAACTTGCATATTAAGTGAATTTAGTTCTAGAATACATGTTTAACAGGCTTCCATTATGAAAACAGGGCGAGGAGCAAAAATAATAGTAAAAATAGATTAGTGCGACATTAGAGTGATTAGACGAGTGACAAGCAGAGACGGGAGAAGTGAATATAAAAAGGTTTTGTGAGCAAAGAGAACCAAATTCACAATCTCCATCCACCCTGCAAGAGAAGAGACAGTTTGCGAAGATGTGGAGGTTAACGTGTGTCGGTTTGGCCCTGCTCTTATGTGTTCAAGGTAAGGTCTTTTACTTAGAAACTTCATCAGCAGTACATGTTTCTGCCATGGTCCTGGTTTATGAGGGATAATTTAATGTGTGCTACTCTGTCTCTTCCACTACAGGTTCACTTTCTCAGTTGAATGGTAAGAGCTTGTCACATTCTTAAGATGTCAGCTTTTTTTGAACAGAAATGTGCAAGAGAACAATCTCCCTCTCTTTCTTTCTCATAGTTTGTGGACAGGCCCCTCTGAACACCCGTATTGTGGGCGGTGTGGATGCATTTGAGGGTTCATGGCCATGGCAGGTCAGTCTGCACAGCTCCAACTTCGGAGGTCATTTTTGCGGTGGCTCCCTAATCAACAGTGAATGGGTGCTGACTGCAGCTCACTGTTTACCTGGGTAAGATTCACATCAGTATTCAACTATTCATCCAAACCACGGGCTCTGAGGCTGTTTTTACACTATTGATTGATTCTTTTCTTTTCTTCACCTTCATCTGTTTTCAGTGTCAGCGCATCCGATCTGCTTGTGTACCTGGGAAAGAAAACACAGCAAGGAGACAATACCTATGAAATCAGTAGAAATGTCATCTCCATCATCGTCCACCCCTCCTACAACAGTCAAACCAGCGACAATGACATCGCTCTGCTCCGTCTCTCCTCCGCAGTCACTTTTAATGACTATATTAAACCCGTGTGTCTGGCGGCGCAGAACAGTGCCTTCCCTTCTGGCACCAGCAGCTGGATCACAGGCTGGGGATCTGTTCAGTCTGGAGGTACAAACACATGCAAATCCATGAATTCACATATGCATCTCTTCCTAACATCACTAATAGAAGGTTGTGTGTGTTTTTGGTGTTCAGTGAGTTTACCTGCTCCTGGGATCCTGCAGGAGACTATGGTTCCAGTGGTGGCTAATGATCGATGTAATACTCTTCTGGGTTCTGGATCTGTTACCAGCAACATGATGTGTGCTGGTTTAATGGAGGGAGGCAAAGACACCTGCCAGGTACAACAACCATTTCAAAACATGCTGCGTATCTGAAAGTCCATTAGGTTCTTCTAATATATTGCTCAAAGAAAAACGTCTCCTCTCTGTCTTTGCGTAGGGAGACTCTGGTGGTCCAATGGTGAGCAAGCAGTGTTTGGTGTGGGTTCAGTCTGGTATCACCAGCTGGGGTTATGGCTGTGCCGATCCCAACGCACCTGGTGTTTACACCCGCGTGTCACAGTATCAGAGCTGGATCACCAGTAACATTGGCCAGAACCTTCCAAGATTCGTCATTTGCAACCCTTCAAGCACATGCCAGTCTGTTTCTACGGCCTCACCTGCTTCTTCATCGCCTATTTCTGCTGCCACAACTGCTTCTACTGCATTGCCTGTTTCTACGACCTCACAAGTTTCTGCTACCTCAAGAACAACTACTACTTTTAGACCTCCACCCAATCAGTGTAACTCTCTTTCACACACATGTACACATTAATGTCTTCTTATTACCACTCACTTCTCTGCATAATGCTTGTTTAAATGTTTTTTGTTGTAGCCTCAATTTCTTGTCGTAGAAGATGTGGTGAGAGATTTGACATCCGCAACCGCTGCAACTGCAATCCTGGCTGCCGCAGAAACTGCTGTAGGGATTATGAAAGGCAATGCCGTAAGTCCAAATACACTGGCAACTGTTTATCATGTTTATAGTTTTGAAATAATACTCAAATAACTGAGACAGTAAATTACTCCAGCAGTATCTTAAAAGACCAGAAGCCCTTCAGCTCTGTCTGTTTTTGCAGGGAATCACAGGTGGTAATTTTTTGGTTGGCCTAAGCTTCTACACGGCTCCCCTTCTTTCTCTTTATATATATATATATATGTTTCAGTTTCTTCAAACATTCTATAAGCTGTGCAAGTACAGCGATTAGAACAAATGTATACACATTTCTTTAAATCAGCCCCAAATTACCAACATTTAAATACATTTTCCTATTGAGAATGAAGATTTCTTTAAATTCATATTTGTATGTCAAATAAAAAATAAAGATTTAAATTAATTTCATATAGAAAGTACACAAAATAATGATATATTTAGATTACATAATATCTAGCATTACTAGCATTAAGTGATAATATAACTTGAGTCTTGTTTGTAATCTGTATCTGTGTAAATGATTAAATAAATAATTTGCATCATCTGACTTTAAAGTATCTTGCTGTAATAAATTACACCAACAGGGGGCGTTGTTTTACATTTGCCATGTTCAAAACATTAATGAGCACACATGTCGTCTTTCTAACAAAACTCTTTACCACACACACACACACAAGGTTTTGTGAAACCTTTTGTGAAGAAAAGGTTGCTTTTCAATGTATGAAAAATTCAGCCAAGCTTATAATGAACACCGATGTTAAACTAATTTTTCTAAAAACTCAAAGATCATATTAGTTTAGTAGAAAAAAAATCCTAAAATAATAAGGTCATATAGAGCATAACACAGTCTCGGAGATAAGAAGTGGATTATCCTTCTCCTGAAATGTTTGTCTTTTCATCCTGAAATGTGAGGCAAATGTTGGATCACAATAATTAGGAAACACAGTTTCCACAAATCCCTGCACTCTATTGGGATGTTCTCTTTTATTCTGGAATTTATAGTGACTGTAACATGGAGCGTATTTTGCAGTATTAAACACGTGTTTATACCGATTTCATCAGGCTCCGAAAATTCTTCAAAAAGAACACAAAGAATGGCCTTCTCAGCTGCCATAGTTGCAACTCTTGCGTCATCAGAACAGTGTGTTCAACGCACCACCGTTTCCGTTTAAAAAACGTTTTGCACCGTTTTGTCGGGGCTGAACGAAGGCCTGGTGTATTACAATGCTAAATACATCTAAAATACATTGTGGAACATTAATAAACATGTACAAAATTTTCTGTGGAATAAGTCAGCTTTTTTGTTTAAGGCTATAAAAAAAAAATGGTAACACTTTATTTTAAGGTGTCCTTGTTACACATGTTCCATGTACTTATAACAATTAATTATGCATAATTACATGCGAGTAACTCTAAACCAAACCCTCATTCTTACCCTAACCATATAGTAAATACATGTAGTTAATTAATATTACTCAGTACTAAAATGTATAACAAGGACATCTTAAAATAAAGTACAACCAAAAACACATTTTACTACATCTGTGAGGAGGTGTAAGTGACATTACTACTTGACTTTTTTACATTCAACATCTTCTAACAATAATATTCACAATTAAAATAATAAAAATGTTTAGGAAATTATGTTGTGTAGTCCTACCATTATTAAAAATGTCATAAAACTTGAGCTTATTCAAAAACTAAACTTCAGTTTAACTTCAATGGGCTATACATCAGTAAATACTGCTGCTGTCTTAAATTTCAAGGTAACTAGGAACAAGGATATAATAAATCATCACTACAGCTCATGCACATAACATCTCACTAACAATAAACCCACAAACCACAAAGTGGGGCTACCACCAGGATTTTTCACTACAATAGCTGTTAAAGCTTGGGAAAAAAGGTGAATGACTTACTTAGAAGGGGAGGTGCTTTTTAGAAAGGCAGTACATGATTCAGGATGAGGTCATGGTCTATAAGGAAGTAACAAGCATCTCAATGGAAAAATTAAGTCTGGCAATCATTAGAGGCAACACTGTTGACTCAGTACCAGGATTTGAAAAGCTTCACAACCTATGGTGATAAAATGTATTATTATTATTTTTTAGGGTGAATATAATCAATTTAACATAAAGCATTATTTTTTCCCACTATGTGAGTATTTTAACCTCCAAAAACTACCAATACATAGCACTTGCAACAGAAAAGGCTCTGGATGCTGCATGGACTTAAAGGGATAGTTCACTCAAAAATAAAAATTCTGTCATCATTTACTCACCCTCAAGTTGTTCCTGTGTGAGTTTCTATCTTCTGCTGAACACAAAAGAAGATATTGAGAAGAATGTTGGTAAACAAACCATTAACTTCCATAGTACGGGGAAAAAATACTATGGAAGTCAACTGTTTGGTTAACAACATTATTCATAATATCTCATTTGTGTTCAACACACTGTAAAAAGTAATGAGTTGAACTTACTTGGAAAACCTGTGGAAACTGATTGCCTCAAATTTCTCAAGCAAATTAGTTTATAATTTTTGAGTTAATAAAACTTACTGTAACTTTGTATAGGTAACTTGTGTATATGTATAGGTTACCAGAAAACTTGAGTGTTGGTAACTCAATTTGACAAGTTCAGCCAACTTAGAGATTTAAGTTAAGCTTAGTGCACAGAACTCAAACAAAACAGTTCTCTTAACAAGTCTGCTTTGTTCACATTACTAGACAAATGTGTGGAAACTGATTGCCTTAAATTTCTCAAGTAAGCTGTACTCAAAACTTAAAGTTGTTAATACAAAGACAGAAAACAGATTGTTAGCACAACAATAGGGCATTTATTTGTTTAATAAAACAATGTTACTTCAAGTCATTACTTTTTAGGCATGCTATCAAATCAACAATTTAACATTGTAAGAAAAATTGCACATACTGCACTCAGGAAATAAATAAAAAAAAAAAAACCCATCAACATCCCTTTTATGACACCTTGTAAATCTAGATTTACCATTTTCTAGAATTACCTTTTTCTAAATCAATAATGGTCAATCATGAACAATTACACTGAAAAATGCTCCATCACACCACAATGACATATTTCTACATCAGAAGATTTTTCAGAGGTTGCATTCTAGGTTCAGCCATTGAATGAAATCAAAGGTGTCCTTCAGTACTGGAGGATACTATAATTTCATAGCATAAATGAGTCCAAAGAGCAGGCATATGTCTTGGAGAGGATTTTCCAGATCATCCAATACAATTGTACCTTCCAAAATTATTGCAGTAGATGTGGCATTAAAAGCAGTGAGTTAGGTATGGCTCTAGAGTCCTCAGCTCAGGGATCACGGTCAATACACCAGACAATGGAAACATACATTTAATCCAACAAACTAGATGCTCTTAAGTACTGTTTACTAAAGTTGTTTAGTTTAACTACTGCATCCACCAGAAAGTTCTCATAACACAGTATAATTAAGTAAATTCAACAAATTTGTAAAAATCAGTTAGGCTTACTTGCTTTTCTTAAGTAGATTCAGTGATTACTTTTTACAGTGCAGAAGAAAGAAGCCCAGAAGAAGGGACCTATTTGTTTGGTGCACCAATGCCGATGCGCCATCTTGGGTCTCAGATATCAAATGTAGGAAAACAAAACAGCCTCAGAAGACTTTTGTATTAATAATACAGTAGGCCTAAATATTGTTGCAGTGTTTGTCTTGTTGCTAGGTCAATTGTTTTCATATTGTAATCAGTGCTGGGTAGTAACTGATTACATGTAATCTGGATTAAGTATTCCTAAACAGATTCCAAAAATTAAGTACTATTAAGTATAATTAGAGTATATTACATTTTAAAATGCTCATAATCAGATTACAGTTACATTTTACTACAGACTACATGATTACATATCACACAATGACAGTAAATTATTCATCATTTATTGATTCTCCTTAATTATTTTTTTCTCTTTTAAATTTTCCTTTCTAAAAATCCTACTGTGTGTCATCCCATTTAGCCTTAAATGTATTCGCATATAAATTTGAAAACCATACTTCTGAATTGTACTTCTCAAGTTATCAAACCATGTATAATGGTCTCCTTGATATAAATTGGCAAGGGACTGATCTATCTCTTTGCTTTTTTATAACAATATGGCATGTTTAATGATAAGTTTACAACAAGTTAGCAAAAAAATTATTTAAAAAAAATCTAAAAAGTAGTCAGAATACATTACCCAAAATTAGTAAATTAGATGATGTTACTAACTATAAAAAGTAACGGATCTATGGGTCTAGAATTTGTAAGTAATCTACCCAACACTGACTGTAATTATTTTTTTTCATACCCGAAACTTTTAAATAATATACAGGTAAAATTGGAAAATACTTTCAACTCAAATAAATATTTGTCCAAAATATGTCCATGTTTATTTTATATGATGAGTTGCCCACACCAGTCTTTATCGCAAAATAAAGCTGAACAGGATGATCAGGACTTCAATGAAGATTAAAACATATAAAATAAGGTTACACTTTATTTTAAGGTGTCCTTGTTACACATTTTACGTGTACTTACTATTATAATAACAATAAATTATGCATAATTACATGCAAGTAAACTTAAGCCAAACCCTATTCCTAACCCTAGCCATATAGTAAGTACATGTAGTGAATTAATATTCCTCAGCACTTAAATGTATAATTACACTGTAATAAGGACACCTTAAAATAAAATGTAACCCAAAACAAATGTAATCAGTTACAGTTACTGAGAAAAAAATGTGTAATTAAATGACAGTTACTTATAGAAATATTAATTGCATTATGCCAGTGCAAAGATTTGATTTCAAAAACAGTATCATAGCAATTAAACTATATCTTATGATTTTAAATCTGTATTTAACTTCAGAACAATCTCAAAGATGCTGTGCTAAAGTCTGATTTTGTGGTGGTCTCTGCTTTAAAACTAAATTATAATCGTAATTCAAGTGTTAACCCCGCGTGCTTTAAATGTTTCA